CCCCCCCCCTCCCCCCCCCCCCACCCCCTCCCCCTTTTTTCCACCCCCCGGGGGACACAAACCCCCCCCCCCCCCCCCTTCTTTAATTTTGTGGGGCCGTTTTGGGCCAAACAAAATAAAAAAAGGGGTACAAAAACCCGGGGGGTGTGTGGGGGGGGGGGGGGGGGGGGGGGTAGAGTTGCGGATGCCAAATGGGCTTTCCTTATCTCAGAGACGAACTTTTTAGCTAAGACATCTTTTCGCAACGACAAAAACAACTAACTTTTAGATGTGTGATTCACCTTTTTGAATATCATTTTGTCTCTATGTTTTAGGTTATTATTCCTGGAATTTGGATCCTCGTAGCAATAAAAAGTATCCCAAGATTCATGAAACGGAGCCGTTTTGCGAAGGAAAATATTTCTAACTACTGCATTTCCTTATTAGCTGAGGAAAGTGAAAAGGCCCTTTCTGCTGTTTACTCTTCAATTGATTCTGTTTTGTTGATTTTGCTTGTCTTGTTACACTCTAAGATCGTGTACACTTTGTGGTTCAAGCACAGTGATAATGTACTTACACCTCATCAACAGGTATGCGGTAGGACACAACTAGGTTTAGCCCCGGAAAGTGGGATACTCAACAATGCATTATACGGGGAGGCTCCCCTTTGATGTCCGACCCCTTATCCTTTTATATACTATCTTTGACAGAAGATCGACCCTTTTCGGGCGTGGCCTCCCAGTATAGGCAATTACAGGAAGTACCCCCCTGGGATTTAGCTGGCATTTAACGGGGTTTACTCCCTCCCTTACGTATTAAAGTAATAAAGGTGTGTCTGGCAACAAAGGCTTATGTTATTTTGACCATTACGGTGTTTTGGGTTTCAAATAGTGTCAAGTTTCCTGCTTCCTGATCTTACAGTTTGGACTCTAGGGTTTAAATTTTTTCATCATACAAAACAACTTATTAGGTTTCAATTCCGGCTATCTTAAGTTGGACCCAAAATTTAAGGTTTCATGGTCATAACAAAGGTAGACAAGACGAAACACTCGGTTTTATAGGTCACTTATATTGTACACTTGGGTAACCTATGGTTTATGTATTTGTTTTGTATACAGGGTGTGTTGAGGTTAAGAAAGCGGGTCACCCTAACGGCTGTTACCATCACTGCCATTCTTGTAATGTCTTGGGGAGCTGACGGAATATTGCACCTGATACAAGAATATGCTGGCTCCGTGAAACTGAGTCCTTTAGCAACTCCTATCGCGCACACGATAATGATATTTAACTCTGTCGTCAATCCCTTTGCTTACGCTTTGCTGAACCAAAGATTCAGGACGAAAGTGAAGGAAATGGTATGTTCGCGTTGTTTTGGAACAAGGGTTCATCCTATGAGCCCGCAACAGAGTGAACGACAAGACAACGAGGTGGCAATCAGCACTGGTAACATCCCTATGACATGAACCAACTGAGTGACAGGTTGAAGACAATTCTCTGGAAGAATGTGTGTCCACAGTAATGGACACTGACGTTGCTATCACCCTGCGACCGCACCCTGTTTCGTGTAATCAGTTTTTCGTCTTTGTTTTTGTTCATTGCATCTTCCTTTCTGTTATCACTAAGTTTAAGGCAAAGAGAATCCATATAAAATAAATTATGGACGACGCAAGTCCCTGCCATTCTCGTTTGTTTCGGCTGTATAGTTAGTTCTCGTAGCGAAATCGTCCAGCATGATGTCACACTAAGAAGAGGTAATTAACTTTTGGACTGAACGATCTACCCCGACTGTGACGACTGTTGGAAGTGGTCGAGTAAAGGAAGTAGCGAAAGTAACAAAACAGTGAAATAAAATCCGTCAACCTTCACTCTCAGGTGTCAATGCTTAAATATTAAATAAACATTATGGTACTTTTAGTCTTCCCCTATGAAAACAAGTTTCCTTTGGTTGAAACATGCCGTTTGAACGGCTTTTAATAATAATTTAATATTTATATTGCGCAAAATACATATAAATATGATCAAATGCGCATAATGACGCTGACGATGACGACAATGGCGATGATGATGATAACGGGGGATGGTGGGTGAGGAGGAGGAGGGGAAGGAGGAAGAGGAGGAGGAGGAGGAGAAGAAGGAGGGGGGAGAAGAAAAGTAAAACTGATAAAACTTACGATCGATTCCTGGCCAGAAGAACTCTCTACACATGGCGTTTACAGGGTGAACAACAGGACAACGACACTGGTCACACTACTTGCAGCATTCCGATGACACAGCAAGACCAACTGGGTGAAAGGGCGGGGACAACTTCCCAGGAAAATGTGTATCGAAAGTGACGGGCATTTCCGTATTACCTTTGGCCTCGTTTTCAAAGCGAGTCCTGGTGGTTATCGTTTCATATGGAAAGAAGTTTTCATTTACCCACAAATTAAACTCATTTTCATGTGAAAGGTTTGTGCCCGCTTTGATAAAAAGGCTAAGCGCAATTCGAAAATGGGTTATGGACACCGCTTTTGTGGTCACCCTGCCCTTATAAATGTAAACAAAAAATGTTTTCTTACGAGAACATTCAACTCCCATATAGGATTGCCTTGAAACACCAACGATAATAGGTAGCTTATAGCAACGAAGACAGCGATAACAACTGGAGCGTCAAAAAAGCAATGGCTTTTGTAAGCAAAACGGTACATATCTTTGCCGTCAGTGCACAACTACGACGTAAAATACCCGTATACGACGTTTTATGGAGGACGTAAACACGAGACGACGAATTTTCTTTTTCTCCTGATTTTAAACTTGGGTGCCGTCCCAGAGAATTCACCTAGATTTGAGATTTAATCTCCAGTACGTTGTAATAAATGCGAAAAAACTGATAAAACGCTGCAGTTTACCACTGGTCCTTGCTCTTGTACATAACAGAATACTCAACAGGTGACCAGTAAAGAATAGAACAAGCTACCTGCGGGTCCGTGTATTTCAGTAAAGGGGAAAATCAAGGAAAAATAAAGACTTTTGTTGTTGTTCCTTTTATTGTACCGTTGTCGTTTCGAGCCAAAATTGCCCTCAAATTAAAAAAAACATACCGTCTTTGTCTGCTAATTTGCATTAAGTATAAATTTTGCCGTCTATGCCATAAGAATAATCTAAAATGTTAAGGGACGGGCAATAGGGAGGTTACTCAGCAAAAAAGCGAGCTCACAGGACTGGAGGACCGTCTTGTCTAAGTTCAATTTTCTTTCTCTCAGGTTTTTGGTTTTATCCTTCTGTTGCGTTCGAGATTAAGCTTAGATTATTACGGCAGCAATTTTTTCCACTACAAGAGTCTTTTTCACCTTGGACAACATGATATGATTAGAAATTGTTTTCTGCATGACGCTAATTACAAAACTGCTCCTTTAATTTAAGTTGCTTGCTTGAAGCCAAAACAATGAACGCTTCATTCTTAGAGATTTGCACCGTCTGTGTTTCCTCCACAACAGTTTGAACAGCGTCAAATTTGCGAACAACCAGTTCAACGCGAGACGTTCTTACATTACCTTGATCTTCATGCGCACCCTTGATTACGAAAACTGCCTACAGATAAAGAAATATCCTCGCCGTCTTCTAATCAGCATGAAGACATTTCTCCCTGTTTTAATTTTGTGAAAGGTTTAAACCCAGGAGTCATTTCAAAAGTAGGTTGAGTTTGATCGTCCGGGTGTACGTAGTCCTGAATAGGACTGTTGTTGTTGACAGTGACTGACGTTTCCACAACCTGTGCGGTAGTCATCTTCAGAGTCAAAGTGAGTTGTATCACGTCAGTTGATGGTATAATACTCTGGTTATTGATCTGATTGGTCAATTACGTCGCGATGTTATTGGTCGTCTGTCAGTTAAGCCGTGATGTTATTGGCTATGAAGACTCGTAATAAGTAATTGATGCGTTTCGATCCGTCTATTGTCACAGTCAAACAGTGACGTCTATTGTTAGTCAAATTGTCAGTTCTACAGTCGTTCTCTCTTTTTCTTGAAGGTTTGTGTGTGTGCCGGTGAACAAACGAACTCAAAATTTATTCCCGTATCTCTGAGATAATTTTGAAAAAAAAAAAAGAAAAAGTTTGTTTCGTGAGTTCCTCTTTTGTCCTTCATTGTTACAGTGTCGTAGCGTAGATTTAGATGCAAGCCAGTATACTTTAGGTCTTATTTTCGTGACTTCACCATATGGAACATCACCTGCTTCTAAGCTTTTAACTTCCTATTTTTGACCACCCATCGCAATTGTCGTTAATATATTTTTCCATTTCCAAATAATTTTGACGGAGCGGCTTCCGCGGTAAGATCGCACCGCCGGGTAACTTCATAACAAGTTACCAAACTTAGCCATGAAGAAACTACTCTGTGGTAAAATCACAACTGAGGCAAAGGTTTGTGAGGGTTTATACAATTAAGTGGCCCTGACAACGTAACTTTGAACGGTTAAGTTGAATTACAAAAGATTCACAGCTATCCCTGCCTGACCGGCCATGGTTTCGCTATCTGCTCTTGCCAGTTGTAGCTGTATGTCTATACACTTTACCGTATAGCTCTTTAATACGCCGGCACGAAAATCATTTCGGATAGCGGCTTGTTCACATAAAACACCGGTGATTTTCATACAACGCGACTTCTGTAACAAATTAAAGCGAAGCTGCGCCACGTCGATGGTGAAAGTAGGGGTATAGAATGGTACCTCGAAAAACTGAAACCAGGGTCTCGCAGTCTCGAATTTACCATTCTTTTCCCCCGAAAGTGGATTGTCACATATTGGATAGGTGTTTATAGTGCATCGTTTGCTTTGTCATGTCGACATGAATATCTCTCCGGCTTGTGTCGTGTACACATTGCATAGCCTTAAAATCCGACAACATTAATTAATAGACCGTTTTACCGATACGGCAGCCATATTGAATTAATTCGATTTAAGGAGTATTATAGGATGCCCAGTGGGCATGAGCACATTTTGTTTGTATTTTCGAGCGCTTTTCGGGACATTTTTTCTTAAAGTTTTCTTAGAATAAGATTGTAATGGGAAAAAAGATCCTTGTACCGTGTTTGGATGTAATAATGATCGCCTTTTTCTAGTTTAGTATTAGAAATATGGTCTTTCACTGTATATTTCTCGGGAAAAAGGCGATCATTATTACATCCTAACACGGCACAAGGATCTTTTTTTTTCCATTACAATCTTATTCTAAGAAAACCTTAAGAAAAAAATGTCCCGAAAAGCGCTCGAAAATATAAACGAAATGTGCTTATGCCCCCTGGGCATCCTATAATACTCCTTAAATCGAATTCATTCAATATGGCCGCCGTATCGGTAAAAAGGTCTATTGACGTACTGAGCTGTTTGTCGTCGCTATTAATCAATGAAAAGCGGATCTTCCTTGAAAAGCCAAAGGCTTAAAGGGGCTGCTAAATACTATGATCTTCTACCCCTATTTATATGCACCGAAAGGAATTTTTTGAATTAGATACCAGTGCTTGAGGAAAAATTCATCTTCAAATTCAGGTATACGTCATTTTGGAGGAAAAGGGCACATTTAAAGATTAACACTAGTAAACCGTAATTCATTTCCGTCGCTGTACAAAACTGTGAATTAACAAATCAAACAATCGCAAAACACAGGATACAAATTATGGACCATCTGACTTTATAAGTATGTCTGTATTCCTTTAGGTTTTGGTTACCGACATGATGTGTTACAATATATAGAAATGGGCGAAAGATAAGCATTTGGTCGCGTACAATTATTGCTCATTGTTACCTCCCGTTCGCTTTACGTTTGGTAATTGTATACAGAGGAAAAACCCTGTTTGAGCTGAAAAGAAACCCCGGTATAGATTTCTTGTGTGGTGATTTGTGAAATAAATGGCCAATGCAATACCTAATAGCTAACAAAGCGCTAATTAATATTGTCTTCACACAGATTACTTGGGAGTAACACGACTTACAGCCTTCAGCCATGTCTGAGGAGTCGGCTGCTGTCGCATTAACAACAATAAATTCCATATTAATTATCACCTGCATCGTGGGAAACTGTTTCGTCTGTGCTGTAGTGATGAAAAATCGACAAATGAGGTAAATTTGAAGTAGCAGTTGCTAACCTAAATACCTGATCGTATTTATAGCAAAGGTGCATGATGGATTAGTAAAACGCAGAAAGTGATTTTAAGAATATCTCCAGGGGTTGTTGATTTTATGCACTGTTTGACTTCAACAAGGTTTATTTTTGAGATCAACCAAAACCAGTTGAATTACTTGAGAACGACTTTTTCTTAGAAATCCCAATGATCTCCGCTTTTAGCCTTGGCTAAAACGATATATTACCAGTAACAGCCGACCATATTATTCCACAGGACACCCATCAACTATCTCCTTATCAACCTGGCAGCAGCGGACATCTGTTACGTAACATTTATTACACCAAGTATTATTTTAAGCCACGATGTCGACCATCCAAAGGGGATCGCTGGGACAATTTTATGCGCAGTTGTAACAGAGGGAGGATTAGCATGGACTGGAGCGGAGGCCTCAATATTTACACTACTTGTTGTTGCCTTTGAACGATANTGACTTTATAAGTATGTCTGTATTCCTTTAGGTTTTGGTTACCGACATGATGTGTTACAATATATAGAAATGGGCGAAAGATAAGCATTTGGTCGCGTACAATTATTGCTCATTGTTACCTCCCGTTCGCTTTACGTTTGGTAATTGTATACAGAGGAAAAACCCTGTTTGAGCTGAAAAGAAACCCCGGTATAGATTTCTTGTGTGGTGATTTGTGAAATAAATGGCCAATGCAATACCTAATAGCTAACAAAGCGCTAATTAATATTGTCTTCACACAGATTACTTGGGAGTAACACGACTTACAGCCTTCAGCCATGTCTGAGGAGTCGGCTGCTGTCGCATTAACAACAATAAATTCCATATTAATTATCACCTGCATCGTGGGAAACTGTTTCGTCTGTGCTGTAGTGATGAAAAATCGACAAATGAGGTAAATTTGAAGTAGCAGTTGCTAACCTAAATACCTGATCGTATTTATAGCAAAGGTGCATGATGGATTAGTAAAACGCAGAAAGTGATTTTAAGAATATCTCCAGGGGTTGTTGATTTTATGCACTGTTTGACTTCAACAAGGTTTATTTTTGAGATCAACCAAAACCAGTTGAATTACTTGAGAACGACTTTTTCTTAGAAATCCCAATGATCTCCGCTTTTAGCCTTGGCTAAAACGATATATTACCAGTAACAGCCGACCATATTATTCCACAGGACACCCATCAACTATCTCCTTATCAACCTGGCAGCAGCGGACATCTGTTACGTAACATTTATTACACCAAGTATTATTTTAAGCCACGATGTCGACCATCCAAAGGGGATCGCTGGGACAATTTTATGCGCAGTTGTAACAGAGGGAGGATTAGCATGGACTGGAGCGGAGGCCTCAATATTTACACTACTTGTTGTTGCCTTTGAACGATACTTTGCCGTTGTACATCCCTATGGAAACCGGGGAAAGCTAACGTTTCGCACAGTAAAGGTGTGTTTCTTTGAAATAAGATATTATGCAGGTAGAAATTTGTCAACACAAAGTAGCCTTGTTTTTTTGTTGTTGTATCCGATGGACATAAGTTACTACGCGTAACGCTGTCTTTTAACAGCCAGCCCAGTTAACAGGCTAACCTTCGTGGTTTGCGCAAAAAGGGGAGGGTTTGGAGATGAGGGAGAAAAGCGCGTCAGGAAAAAGGGAAGGTATCTCTTACTGTCTCTCCCTAACCCTCCCCTCCCTTTTCCCTTCCTCCCAATCCTCTACCACTTTCGACGCCTGCTACGCAGGCTATAAACAGCCCTTCCTCCTCGCTCGTGCATATGCTGGCACGCGATGAGGCAAACTAATTAAGAAACAGGTAGACATATCGTGGGCGGATCTGATGGGGAGGGTTGCGGATGGTGTCCTGGTCTCGCCTCTCCATTCTTACCCCAAAATGCGCTTTCCTTATCTCAGAGACGAACTTTGTATCTGAGACATTTTTTGGTCTCGACAAAAATAACTGACTTTTAGATGTGTGATTCACCTTTTTAAATGTTATTCAAACTCTTTATTTTAGGTGACTATTCCAGTAATTTGGATCCTCGCAGCAATAAACAAAATCCCAGAATTCATGAAACGGAGCCGTTCTGCGAAGGAAAATAGTTCTAACTACTGCATTTCCTTATTAACTAAGGAAGGCGTAAAGACCACTTTTACTGTTTACACTTCAATTGATTCTACTCTGATGATTTTGCTGGTCTTGTTATACTCCAAGGTGGTGTACACCTTATGGTTCAAGCACCGTGATAATGTACTTACACATCAACAACAGGTAGGACATAACTAGGTTTAGCCCCGGAAAGTGGGATACTCAATAAAGTATTACACGGGGAGGTTCCGCCAGAATGCCCAACACCCACCCCCCCCCTCCTGCTTACTCTTCCTGTCCTTCGAACAAGTTTTCAACTCTCGCGTGCCTGCTC